TTGCTCACGATTTGTGCTCGCTTTCAGGCTAAACGCCAAAGCGGGCAGCCCCGCCACGCGGCTGGGGGCGACTGCAGGGAAAGCAGGGAAGAGCAAGCCCCAGCTTCCAGATCTTTCTGAATTAAGAGCGCAGGAGGAAAACAAACACGAAGGCCAGCGTGGTGCGGTCACGGCAGAGCGCAGCCAGGAGGATGGGGCTGCGGGGAGCACCTTGGCTCGCCCTTGGCTCGCCCGCGGGCGTACGGCCGCAGCGCAGCGCCCAGGTGATGCCGCAGGCTCCCCGCCAGGCCCTCTGCGCTCTCCATCTGCAAAACCTCTCAGCAGAAGAATGTGCTGCTCCCTCTGCGGCAGGCGCAAGCTGGCTCTGCCTTCATCCCGCCCAGGACACCCCGCCAGCTTCCTCCTCTCCCTCGGCCTCGAGCAGGGGCTGCCGGGCAGGGGCATCCCGAGGGAGCCAGCACGGGGTCGGTGCTCAGAGGGAGCAGGCAATGGGGACAGCTTGCTGCAAGCTTGACAGGGGCTGAGCCGAGCCCCAGGGCTGGGTTCCCACTGTGGCCCCGGGCGCCAAGCACGGCTTCCCGTGTTAATTACTGTTAATGACCATAAAACCAGTGCAGAACAGGCCTCCTCCTGCTCCCACGCCTGGGTCGGGGAACTCGCAGCTCCCAACACCCTGGTGAAGCTGCCGAGGCCGCGGAGCTGAGCAGCTCGCCTGGACGATAGGACGAGGGAGAATGATCTGAAGTTGTGCCAGGGCAGGTTTAGGTTGGACATCAGGAAAAACTTCTTCACCGAAAGGGCTGTCAGGCTCTGGAATGGGCTGCCCAGGGAGGTGGTTGAGTCCCCACCACTGGAGGTATTTAAAAGCCGGGCAGAGGAGGTGCTTAGGGACATGGTTTAGTGGTGGGATGACAGGGTTAGGTTAGCGGTTGGACTTGATGATCTTAAAGGTCTTTTCCAACCTAGATGATTCTATGATTCTAAAAATAAGAAGGTGGCACTGTCCTGAGAAACTGCACCCCCCCACAAGGAAATGACTCAAAAGATTTCACAGAGCATCTTTAAATTATGAGACAGGTATAGTCTCAGACTTCTCATACCACTCAAGAAACAGCTTGAATTTAACTACTTTTAGGTACAGATCTGTCACAGGCAAATCATAGAATCATAGAATCATTTAGGTCAAACCTGCTTCCTCCCTGGGCACAGCAGCCGCCGAAGGAGCTGATCTGATCATTTCGCCTCGGAGCTCCCCAGGCGCCTGCCGAATGCTGCCAGGAAGAATTCAGTTGGGTTCAGAAGTTGGAGCCATCGCAGGCTTGGAATACTGGGCGGGAGAAGATGACTTCCCTCATTATCCCGTATTATGTGGTATAAGATGTTCTCCCAAGGTGTATTTAAGGACTATCGGAGTGGCAGTCTTTCAAGGGACCATTACCCACTTGCAGGAAATTAAGGGTATTATCTCAGTAATTTTCTGCCTCCCTCTTGCACCGAGACTTGGAAAAGCCCCTGACAATGTGAAATTCAACTCCAAATTCTCCAAATGCCCTGAAAACTTCCCAGGCTGCCAGGATAACGCGGTGCTTGTCCCCCAGCCAGGCCTGCCATCGCGCCGTGCAGCACAGACCTGGCGGTGGGAGGGGAACCCACCCCGAGATGGGGGCGCAGGGCGGCTTGGGGGTGATGTGGGCTCCCCACGGGCTGGCACTCCTTTCCTGCGAGCCAGGCAGAGCTGAAGCAGCCCTGGGAAGGGGACACATGCCTTTCCCCCTCCGCGGCCAAAGGGCTCGCTGGCAGAGATTGTGCTTGCCCAGCTGAGTCCTGACTCCTGTCTGTATCCGGGCAGGAACAGCCTCCCTGGGTGGCGGGAGCTGGGGCAGAGAGGTCTGCAGCGCTCAGGAGTGGGGGGAAAAGCCTTTGATGGCCACTGGTGGACCTCCCAGTATGTGGATCCACCAGCTGCATGGGGCAGATCACCCCCGAGCAGGCTGAGGGCTGGGGGTTGAGCTGTGCAGCATCCCCGGAGAGGAGCATCCCCAGGGGACAGGGCCTGCAGAACGCTTTGAGAGGTGCGTGAGGTCAGGTCTGCAGCAGCCCAGCCCCGGGGCATCAGCCCAGGGCACCCCCAGCGAGCCCCCCGTGTTCCGAGTGTGCGTGGGCAGGACGCAGCCATTCCTCCCTCTCCTCTGAGGGCAGGAGCCCCTGGGTGCAACCCCCCCGTTGCTGGGTGACCTGGCCCATGAACTGTCATGATTTGCACCTTGTCACAGCCCCGTGCTGATCCCTAGGACAGCCGTGCTCTGAGCAGGACCCCTGGCAGGAGGGGGGGGTCTCCTCTGGCTCCTGGGCTGGGCGCACCCCAGGATGCTGTGCCCCCGCACCCCACTGCTCGCCTGCAAAGCGGGAATGGTTCCAAAAGCAAAGCCCTGCTCCCCTGCCTGCCCCTGGGATGCTCTGGCTCTGCCCAAAGGCCTGGGGGAGGCAGGGCCACCCCTGCCCCTGGGAGCCCTGTGCTGGGGGGTGAGTGGGTCCCTTTAAACCCAAAGCAGGAAAACAGCTCCTGCCCCATAACTGCTGGTAGCCCGCAGCCCCCAGCATTAGCCACTGGCCCCCAGTGTGTCCTGGGCACCACCTATAATTGCTGATAGCCTGCAGCCCCCAGTGTTAGCCCCCAGCATGACCTGGGCACCACCTATAATTGCTGATAGCCCGCAGCCCCCAGTATGACCTGGGCACCACCTATAATTGCTGATAGCCCGCAGCCCCCAGCATTAGCCACCAGTCCCTAATGCGTCCTGGGCACCACCGGTAAGTGCTCCCCAGCTTGGGGGCTGTGCTCTTCTCCTTCAGATTGTTGTTCTCCAGGGAATGGTTTATTTTTTGCGTAACTGAGGCTGTGAAATGGGCTGGGAGGGGTCTTCTCCCTGCAGCCGCTCGCTCCTGCCTCTGCCCAAGCAGCTCAGCTGCTGGCAGCGAGGGTTTCCCTGGAAATGGTGCTGGTGAGCTGCTGCTGTCAACTCCTATTCCTGGCTGTTGAGAAACTCAGCCCTCACCTCCCCAGAGGGCTGGGGGCATGTGCTTTTGCCCAAACCCCTTGTTCCCAGAGTCAGGTGGCAGAGCGTGGGGCCAGCCCCGCGGCGCACGTCGGAGCGGGTTTGCTTCGCCTCTCTTGGCTGGAGCTGGCCTGGATGCAGCGCCGGGGTCTGAGCTTTGGAGCTGGGCTGCTGCTGCAGGCGTGGAGCAAACAGAAACCTTTGAAGTCTGGTTGGTGCTGAAAACACTTCATTACGCTGCGCTAATGAACGGCTGATTCTGGGAATTTGAAATTCCTCAGCCGTGATGGGACGGGCTCTGTCGAGAGGGTATTTCTGGGTAACGCTCCCTCCTGTGGCTCTTAACTGCCCCTGGAAATAAAAACAATTTCTCAACCAAACTTTGCCTTCCCTGACGCAGGCGTTGGCTGACGTTGGCTTGTTATTGTAGGGTTGCGTGCAAGGCCCAGGCTCTCCATGTGCTGCTCTGTTGTTGCAGGGCTGCAGCCAGCTCTTGAAAATGAGAGAGGGCTCGCAACGCGCCCCGTACGTGTGGCTTTTACATGCTGCTCGGGGAGCTGGCGGGGGCTCAGCTGGAGGAGGGAGCCACAGCGCGGCTGTCCCCGCTCCAGGCTGGCCCCGGTGGCCCCAGGTACTGGGGAGCAGCACGGCAGGTCTCGGGGCAGTTTGGGGCATGACCTGTCCTTACAGGAGCCGAGTGGTTTTGTCCTCGGTTGCTGGATGTCCCCGCACCCGGGGGCAGGGTCCTGGCTTAAACCCAAAGGCTTCACCGGCAGCGGTGTCCATGCCCGGGACGTGCCGGGGGGTTTGCACCCATTTTTGAAACTATTGTGGGTTTGTTTGGCACCCGCTGCCTGCACCCGGGACGTGCCGGGGGGTTTGCACCCATTTTTGAAACTTTTGTGGGTTTGTTTGGCACCCGC